GATCGAATCCGACCTCTGCCCTTTGCTGCTTGTCATCCTCCACTCTCTCCTCCCAACATGTCCTGTCACTCTTAGCTGTCCCATCTGATAAAGACAAAAAGGCCCCCCAAAAACCTAAAAAAAGACTACGTGTAGCAAAAAAGTGGTTACACAAGGAACCACCAACAACAGGGGAATGGATGAGAATCGTAAAGGAAGTGTATCACATGGAGAAATACAATTTCTATAACAATCCATTCATTCATCAAATGTAAAATGTCAGCCTCACTTGTGATTCGAATTCAAAACCAAATCTATTGCAAAATACTGTCATTCCCAAAGAAAATTGCAACTCAATGAATTGGTGTAAAGTCCCAACACTACTCTCTTATGTTCAGTTTAGTTTATTAGTTTATTTTAATCAGGGACAGTGTGCAAAAGAAAAACTTTAATCTCAGAAGAGAAGAGATGCTTTGTACCAGATTTAGCTAACTAGCTAATTTCCATCTGTTGTCCATGGGCAGATGATGGCAAGATGTCATAATGTCGTACTGATAATAATCAAATAATGACCCAATACACACTAGATAACCAAACCGGGGTTAATGAGGAGAGAATATTTCGCTTAATAGGGTCAGAAACATGACCCCTGATGAATGCTAATGTTGCGAATTGATTGCTAACATGCAAACCCTTAACAACTTTGAGCATTGGTATAGAGGATGTGTTTATCTGCTGCTGTTGACTTGGTAGTATTGGATATTGTTGTTAAAGGGATACTTCACCCATTTGCATTAAGCTTTGTATCATTAGAAACCTGGTAGTATTTTTGAATAGTCGTGCATCCCACCCTCATTTTACCCTGAGATGGGAAATCTTTGTATTTCTGAGTCTGAAAAGGAGCTTCTGATGACATAAAATGATGATTTTTGCGTCGCTGGAAGCTGTTGCGGTTAGCGGGGTGAAACTACAACACTAGTTCCTCATATTTTCGACCACTGAAGCTACAGCCCACATTAGTGGGTTGGAACTCACTCCCAGAATCGAAACTTAACGTCTTCCATATTGCTTGGAAGCTATGCTAACAGGCTCTATGCAGAAAGCTGATAATGGCGAAAAAATATAAATAATAAAATATAAATATAGACTGCATGGCCGACAGGCCGGTCTTGTGTTTTGGCTGCTGGCTGCTGCTTGCCGGCGGGCGCTGGCCGCCGCGACACAAGACCACCGGCTGCCGGCTCAGCAGCCGAGACATAAGGCCTGCCTGTCGACGGCGTTGAGGACGAGGAGCCCGGGCCGGCTTGAGCTGGGGCGGACTGGTAGAGTCGGTGCTCTCACTGTTTGCCTATGGACACAGACATAGAGTCTGTTTTCTGCCAGGAATTTCCAAGATCAATTCTGAAGAAATTTCGGAATCAGTTGAGGAAATGGCCTCATGTGTTAAGTAAATATGTCTGTAAATGTTTTTATTACTTTATTTCTACTGCTATACTGTATATTTTGGAAAAACTGTATCGATCGAATTTCCCTCTGGGATTAATAAAGTATTTCTGATTCTGAACTAGAGGACCTTAGTGGGAGTGGCCTGTGGTACTGTGCATTCTGGGAGTTCTTGTGCATTCTGGGAGTTCTTGTCTTTCATCCACATGAGTCAAAAAGACACTTTCTGCCTTTTCTCGGCCAAGAAGGCAACAACTTCAAAATGTATTTCACATTTCTACTACATATATGACCCAATGTCAAGACAGATTGATGTTTCAACGGGTGAAGTATCCCTTTAATTCATTGGTTGAAACACTGCCTAGTTGATTACAGCTTGCTAAACTATCAACAGTTTAAAAGAGGGGCCGGTGCCAACCCAGACCCCTCCCTGCACACAGCCCTGATAGGTGAATACATTCTTCTTCTGTCAGTGAGTGAAGTGCTGCGCCTCAATGTCGCACCACACTGCCTCTAGTGGTTGGAGGCTTAACTGCAACATCATAATTGATTTAAAAAAAAAACACAGTTTGAAAGTCAGACCCAAAACAGAATATCATAATAATTCACAAAACTTTTATACAAAGCCACAAATACCTGGAATACTTGTAAACTTCTGCACATGGGAGCTTAAAAGTGCAACCAGAACCTGTTACAGAACCCTGACTGGATCCTCCAGAATATTTGGATGTCTTGCCCAAAGACTGAACAACTGACTGATAGCAGGGATCACCTCATCCAAGGCTCACTTCTTTAAGCTGCCTCATAAAAATAAACTTCCCAAGTTTTTACGAGGTAAAGTGACACTTAGTTTGAAGGACACCTACTTCATGGGAGGACACGCTAACAGCAGCAACTAATAGCAACTGAAGCAAGATTCAATGTACAATGACGCCCATTCTTGGTGTTATGTCATAACTAGTTTGGAGTTTTTTAATCCAACTTTATCAAAGAACTTTACAAGTGTGCATAGAACTTTAGTCAAAGGTTTGGTAGACCAAAATGTTTGAATATTGTCGAACAAATTCTACTGAATAACCCCAGGTCTGCCATGTCAATGTAACTTGAAGAAAGCTGGAAAAGAAGATATGGAAAGAAAAATTCTTCACTCTGCAATTCTGATACCATGGTAGAAACTTGAACTCCATGTAGATGGAAATTTAACCCAGTTTTAAAAGCATGAACAAGTTAAGAGGCAGCAGAAGTGTGGAGACTTCTCTAATTTAAAGGTCGGATTGATGTTGTGGTAAACATTACTTTTGAAGCTGGGTTAGGAAAGAAACAGGAAACCCACCCATGTTGATGTCACATAAAGAGCCTACGTTAGTGGAACAAACTGGACTTCTCCGCTCATGGTCTGCTGAGCAGAATGAATCGACCACCTTCAGGTGGAGGTCTCTGCCGATTGCCTATAGGTGCTGCACCTCAGCCATCTCAGGTGGCCTGGAAACCCCCATCTGCCCCTGCTGCAACACACACTGAAGGGGACAGTTTTATTTTTGGAGTAGCCGTGAGCACTGTGGCTCGCTCCCTAAGGCTCCAGTTCACTTCAGGATGAGCCCCGTGGCACCCTGAGCCGGGATTAACAAGCAGACAGCAGTTTGTCCCGACAGCCGCTCATCGAAGGTAAACCAGTCAAACTCAATGTCTGTTGATTGACAAGCTGGTTGAACTGCAGCATGGTCCTGACCCTTAAGCCTGGTGCTAACCTGCCAATGATGCATAGGATTTGATAGAAGCACGTGCACGATGTGAAAAAAACGGATGATGCTTATCAGACTTTTTACCCATGAGAGGAAGAGCTTGCTTTGCAGTCTGGCTGTATGTTTCTGCACAATTATATGCTTTTATAGTTAAATGAAGGCATGAATCAGCTTACATGAACAATAAGACACTTAACTTGTTCCAGTTATTTTCTTGACATTTTTATTAAATTTTAGTTGTACAATGGAAATATATTCACTGTCTCTGTACCTCCCCTTTGACATAGAACTGTTGTTTGCTTTGCAGTCTGTCAAGATAAAACACAAGCGACACCTAAATCTTCTTCCGGTATGTCCTGCTTGGATTTTTTTAGGCTGATTATTAATAAAGACCTCCTCCTCCATTTTGATTAATGAAGTTCTTTACAGCTAATAAGATTGAGGTCATGGCACAGTTTTATCGCAAATCTAATCTTACACTTTCCTCTTTTGAGCTGGTCCAATGAAAGCCTCCCAGCTATCCAACCCCAGAGCCTTAAAAGGGGGACTTCTCATGTGTCAGCTGGCCTCCTTGTCACAGCAAGTGCAGGAGTCACTTTGACAACAAGGCTTCGTGTTAAACTTTCACTCAAAACTTTTCAAACAATCAGACCAATTCAATTAGTAAACCAGGACATACTCTCAGAGGACGTATTTTTCCATTGAAGCTTTTAAAATCGAAATATTTAAGTCCAAACTGCGGAAAACATCCCAGTGGAAAAACTTCTATCTTTCCTCAGACAAAGTTGTTGTATACTGTAAATGGCACTACTAAAAAGTGAAGACAAACATCACTCTGTAACACGAGGCTAAGCTCACAGTCCGAGCAGCTCTGAGAGGATTTGGGCCTGGGATTGATTTCCAGCAGACTGAGGCTGTTTGTGTGATCGTAGGACAGCAGGCAGCAGGTGCTGGGTGTCAGATGTTTGCTCTTATTTCCCTCAGTCTAAAATTAGACAGAAGACCTTTCCTACTGTCACCCAAAGATACTTAAATATTCAGTCAGAAAGAGGCTGCTATTGCCATGTGAGACAACCAGATAGAAGTATTTTTTGTATAGTAAGTAAATCCAGCTTTCATTGTTTGTCAGTTAAGTAAGTTTTAAATTAGCTTTAGTATGAAACCTGAGTCACATTCAACTTCTATTTTCTTTCTCAATTGTCTTTCTAATCCTGGGTAAAGAGGAATGTATGCTACATTGTCTGTTAATTATTCTTCTAACCTTTAAACTCCTTACTGTTTTCTTGTACTGTCAGTGACTGAGGTATTAGGACCAATTTCCTGCAGGTCAAACGTTTAGCATCTTTAGCTCAGATGCTACTACCCCTCCTTCCTGCAAGAACCTGGTCACCCTCCTGTACAGTATGTCCCAATCGTCTTTCTCTGAATTTACTGTCATTTCCTGCAGAGGTCACTTTTAAACCAGACAGTCTCCTTGAGAGACTATTTTCACAAGTAGTTTGTCATCATTTCAAAGTAGCCTCGCTTTAAGTAACAGCTTTACATGCCTTTCTATTTACAATAGTGACGCTTCTTGTTGCCATGCAGCATCTTCAAGGACCCAATTAAGAGTTTCGAAACCTGCTAATGAGGCCGTTGTCATGAGAGCTCGTGGTTTACTAAAGCCAGCTGCAGGCTTGTCTGAGAGCCATTAGCACGGGTTAAATCAGTACAGTTGGTGGGCAGTTAGCTGCATACTGGGAACACACTATGACGATGAGCTCACGTACGCAGGATATAACAAAGAAGGTACACTTTGTAACAGCTTAAGTACTGACAGATGAAACACAAAATAACTTCTTAATTACATTTAATTTGTTTTATTAAAGATGTACTACTTCTGAGATTAATATTCACAAAATAAGCGGTTAACTGTCTGGTATAAACAGGAGAAAAATGACTTGGTATTTTCTTCATTACCTGTGGTAAAAAGATACCGAAGTTGCAAAGGGAAAAAAAAGAAAGAAATCCAAACAACATGATTTAAATACATTTACAAACAAACATTTGAAATTCAGGGAATGAAGAAGTGATAGTGGCTAAAATGTGTGCTGTATTTAATTTTTTTTTCCCGACACAGAAAGTCCAGCTTGTCTTTCACAAATCTTCATAGAACTGCCCAGCTGCAAAATATGGAAAAAGAGTTTGTCAGTAATTATATTTACCCAATTTGTGACCAAAATGTATCTATATACACATCTTTAAACCCTTAATCACATGCAAACTCAGTGATTTGAAAAAAAAAACAGATGTCAGGCATTTACAATGGACCTACTGGTAGTTCTGTATTGAAACTAAACCCATGTCAAACTGTGAAAGAGAACTTCACATCATGCAACCTGCATCATATAATATGTTTGCTTTGATTTCATGATAATATGGTTCCTATCAGGAACATTTGTAACCCCTACATGAGATATTTTTTTTTGCCTCTGGTTTTATAACTTTGATTAGAAAGGTACAAAAGGTTTCCTAGTTTAGTTAGTTTGAGGTAAGTATTGACCATAAATGTTGGAACCATTTTGTTCTATATAGAATTGTTGGCAAATTAACTCTTATATGACACGCTTCTTTTGGTGATCAATATTACTATTTTGTGTCCATTTTGCTGTAAAAGTTCGATATATTTTTAGCTGCAGAAAAAAGAAGTGACCAGTCTATTCTCGCTTGCAGGCCTTTAAAATGCTGATGGATGTTGGATACAGTAATGGGCTGGATCCTGACCTTTCCCAGCAGTATCCTCCGCCCTTACTGCCAAAGCCGGGCAAAGATAACGCAAGGCTTCAAAAACTTAAGAAGAAGAGAGCCAAGAAAAAAGGGAACCTCTCCCAGACGCCAGTACCCTTTCGATCCTGTTTGTCGCCTGTCAACGAGGCAAGCACCGACCTCGAACACAGTGATCAGTCAAGCCCACCAAGGACCCCAGATTCAGCCTATGTTGCGGATTCCACAGTTTCCAGTTTCCCTTTTGGCTCCCTCTACAATCACCCTGCATCTGCATTCCCTCATCCTCAGATCAGTCCATATGGCCAAACAGGCAGCTACCCCCTTCAGCCCTCCATAGCTCATATCAGTACTTCTGAAGAGCAGGTGGCTCCGCTGTATGAGTGCTCTTCTTTCTTATTTGACGACGTGACACCTTTCATGATGCCACCTTTAGCTTCACTGCCCCCATCACCACCTGAGCAGGTTCCAGCAACACCTCTTCTTTCTGCCTTCAATGTAAACATGACACCAAATTCCCATGGGTCAGTCACAACAGTACCCCCAGTTGCTGTGTCGCAGTCCAGCACTAAAATATCAACCCACAGCCTGACCCTATCCCCAGCCTCACCTAACTCTGGCCCAGGCCCAGCACCTTCTCAAGTTGCAGACCTACCTCCTCTTCCAGCGCTGCTATCAGTTTCAAACCCTCAGACACAACCTGTTATTCCCAGCCAGAGGGAGACAAAGGCCGGCTCAAGGGAATACCCTCAAAACCAGACAGTGTTTTGGACCGCCAGACCTACCAATAATGGGAACTCTGTTTTGAGCCAAATGTCCTCTGAGATAACCGCTTCAAAAATATCACTTGTTGAAGCAGTCAAAGAGACAAGGCCTGAAGCCACACAAACCAGGATTTATACATCAAAGGCAACATTTTATGAGATTTCTAAACCTCCCTCCATGCAGGACTTAACAGTTTTAAACCAAACTAACCATGGAACTTTGTCATCTGCTGTACTTGGGGAGAAAGTAGCTGTGTGTGTGGTGAAATCTGATCGTAATCTGTATATGTCAAGGCCCCAATCTGGAAGACCTAAGACTCCCTCTTGTACACCAGCTCGAGTATCCACACCCTTTATTGAAATATCCAAACCTAACCCCCTTTTATTTGCAGCAAGTCCTGCTTTCAACTGCTCTCAAGAGTCTCAAGCTCCTGTGATTCCAAATGAGGCTACCCGACCGAAGTCAGGGATTCAAACTAACAGTATATGTACACCTCCAGCTGCCACAGTTGAGCTCAAACAGACTGATGTTAATCACAATTCTTCAATCAAAAAAACTAGGAATTATAAAGATGTAGAACTTCAAAATAAAGAAGGAAGTCCAAAATATTGTGAGCTCAACCCCGGAAATACTTTAGCATCAAATGTGAATGCACCTGCATCTGCTGTGGTTAAACCAACACTGACAGAACCAGTCAACTCAAAACCACCATCAGTCCAAGATTCGGAAAGTGAAGATTCCTTTTTGCCAAAGGTTCCATCATTTTCCATCGCACCAAAGTTTTCTAATCCTCCGCTTGTGAATTTGGTGCGAGCCCCACCCAGTCCAAGCCCCCTTAAGTCCACTTATGGTCCACCTGTGGTTGAGGCACGCAAGTCTTTAACATCTCTTTTGGGGAATCAAATGTCATTAGCAGCCTCAAAGCCCAAATCCCGATCCATGTATTATGGACTTACACCAACTGAATATTTGGCCTATGGTGGGATCAGGACTAGTTCCTCTCATCACAGCCCCATACTTCCCAGAGTTAATGAAACCTCTGCAAAGAAAACACATTCGTATTTAGCTTTAGATGAACCCAAGGTGTCAACATCCGATGCAACAAAACAACTCAATGGACACCAAGATCTTCTGTCTTCAGTGGAGGTTCCTGGTACTAAAACATCATCACCACCAAGGGATCCTGAGGTTCCAGCTGAACAGATCGTAACACACAGCAAAGATGTGTTTGAGGAAAAGCAGTCTGAAGCTCATAGTATTGGAATACAATCAGTTGAAACATCTATTGTGGACACAATAAAACCTGAGCTTCCATCTGGCTTGGCAGAGAAAACAAAGCAACAATCATCAAGTGATGTATCCACACCAAAAGCCTCATACTCTGATGCTTCAATATCAATACCTAAAGCAGGTGAGGTACACACACAAAGTGCGGCTATACTTTCTATAGAGGCAGTGCTAAACACAAATCCATACCTGGCTGATAACAATATGCTGCTGAGTTCTTTCTCATCTTTAGTCAAAGAAGATTCTAATGTGAAGACACAGCATACTACAAAAGGGATAGATGTCATAGACAATGCTAAAAAATGTGAGGAAACTCCTAAACATATAGATTCCAGTGTCGCAAATGCAAAACAGAGACAAACTGAGATAGCTCCAGTCAAGTCTAGCCAAAGTGCTGGTGGAGTCAGTCAGCCAACAACTAATGGTTTCTATGTCCCACTCTCTGCCAGTCCTGTGAAAGATCTAGCTGGCCATAAAAATCTGGCTGTTAAATATCTTGCAACTGAGTTAGACCCCAAATTCTCAGGGTGTGCCAACACAAATGGTGCATTCAAATTGGGAAAGCATCAAGCCACCAAATTAGTTTCAGAAACACCACTTCCTAGTCAAACAACTCCTAAAGGGCTTTTACCCAAACAAGGAAAAGATCTCAATACGCATAGTAAAGCCAACAGTGAGGCTACTCTTACCAATAATACAAACAATGGCAGCATTTCAACTTCAATGGCTGCTAATACAGAACGTATCGCTGTCAAAACGAACCTTGAGCCACAGATCTTCAATACATTTGATAAAGATTCAGTTAGAGCAACAACTGAATCAATTATGCCACATGAACCTGTCAGAGCATCAGTATGTTCTGCACAGTACGGCACCTGCACTGTATCAGCTGTGGGCCAATACATTAAAACGACCCAGCAGCTCAGAGAAGAAACAAAAGTTAATTTGCATGGAGGAGGCCTCTCTTTCACACCTTCTAAAGCACACAGTCTACCAAATACACCTCCTACTAATACTCACCTGTCAGATAAATCTACCAAGGAAAAAATGCTACCTGACCCATCTGTCCCTGCAACCAAATCACCCAAAATTTTAGGCATTAAATTTCCATTAGATTCGAGTTTGCTAGCACAAGAGCCTCCTAAGATAATTAAAACTAATGATATTGTAGTTCTAAACACAATGTGTAATGTAAGTTCCTATGTCCAAGAAAACATGGCTCAGGGAGCAAGTTTTTACACAAACTCTACAGTTGAGAGCCAAACAGCAACTAAAACAAGTTTTCCAATGCCTGCTAAAGATGCAGTTCTGCCGAGCCGAGTTAATATAGAAAACAAACTCCCCACTAACAATACTACTGACATTAACAGAATTAGAAATACACCAGTAGAAACTAAACAACATCCACAACCCACCAATGTGAGAGTAGGTTTACTGACTGGGAAAACACCAACAGAACATCTGCCAGCTTTACCACCAACATCTTCTAGTCTTTCAAACGGAAACATGGAACTTAATGTGTCCAGCAGTGAAACCAAACCTCCCAACAAACCATCTGCAGGATCACTTACTATTAGCAAGTCTTCAACAGACACACTCTCCCCTGGGCAACCAGGTGGCGTTATGGCTATTCAACAAATTAGACCTGTTGCAGAAACTACACAGACAAACAAACCTAAATTGGATAATGTTCAAAGTACTCAAGCAACTGAAACAGAAGTTCCAAAGAAGCTTTTTACAGAAGCTATTTTGCCTGTGATGACAGACACAGGAGTTAGCAATAAACTGTCTTTTAATACTTTACAGGTAAGTAAATCTCCAGTGCCATTTAGCCCTAAAATGAGGCAAGTCACACCGAAAAGCCCTCAAATGAGATTAGACAGACCTCAGGGTCAACCTTCAGCAATGCAACCCGTTGATAAACGTGTTTCCTGTATTGATGCTCAAACAAAGATCTATGCCTTACCAGGGCCAAATGATAAAGAGGTTGCAAATCTTCTTGCAAAACCTAGATTTGTTGATACATCTCCACCACTGGCTACTACTGAAACCAACATGAAAGAACAACCCCCTTTCATTCAGCCAATTATAGTCAATAAGTCAGTACCAAGTCCACCTGTAAAGACTAAGAATTCTGCAACATCTTTTACTGAGACAACAACAACTTCTTCTTTAATTAGTCATGTCATTGCTAACAAATCTAGTTTCAGCATAGATCAGCAAACCACTGGAAGAAAAAGTCAAATCATGTTGCCAGAAAATAATGTTCAAAATTTTGTGAATTCAATGATGCCTCAGACAGGAGTAAAACAGTTAAGGGAATCTATCCCTGAAACAAGGAAATCTATGGAAAATAACATTCACGTTTCAAATACTCTTACCAGAGATGCTAAATTACCACTTAGCCCTCCCACAGGAATAAAACATTTGCCCACAATGAGAGCCTCCCCTCTACCAGATCCAAGAATGCACAATATTCCTATCCGATCTTATACTCCAACATTGCCCAAGTCCTCCCAAGTGCGTTGTTCACCAAACCATACCAGAGAAATGAAATCCCCAGTCATTTTGAAAGACCAGACAAACCCTTCTATGTCACCTGTTCCAAATAACTCCACTAATAGCACCATTAAACCTCTAGCTAAGTCAAGAACAGAGATTATCCCAAAACCAGACGCAATAGTCCCTACCACTAAACACATTTCAGTCCCGCCTAACAGTGCTGAAGTAAAGGAACAATCCCAAATGCAAAAGACAAAAACCAACATAGCAACTAATAACATAAGTGAAGGACAACTGTCCTCACCAAACACTGATCTTTCTCCCAATACTCCCAATACTGTTTCAGTCAGTAAACCTATGCTACCAGCACAACCTCCCACTACGCAGGTTGAATCAAGACCTTCCTCTGCCACTGTAGAAACTAAGCCCTCAGTTGTTATGAACAATTTGTCAAAGTCCTCCCCAGATCCGGTCCAGACTAGCTTGCACACCAGTAATGTTCAGCCTTCGACAGAGCTACCAGTAGAGAACAATTCCTCTGCAAAGCCATCAAAAGATACTGTCATACAACCGTCCGTAGTTAAAGCCGCTGTGATTGACTCTGCCACTCCTGCTCCTCTGCCTCAGGCCTCAGTCTCAGTCAAAGCTCCATCCCCAAACAGAGGAATGTCACCGCCATCTCAGCAAAAAACTGGACTCAAAGCCAAGGACCTTCTGAGGACCAAAACTACAGCAGCACCAACGGAAGCCCCGACAGTCGAGCCCTCCACGAAGTCACCGACATCAACTGCATCTTCAACTGCTGACAAGAAGACGGTAAAAGCAGAGACATCCTCTACAGCCTCTGAGCACAAAGCAGCCAAAAAGCCAAAAGGTCTGAAGGGTAAGCTCAGCGGATGGACACGGCTCAAGAAACACATGGTTGTTGAACCAGAGGAACCAGAGTTTCCACAGCTGGAGGCCAAATCTCAAGTTGATTCCAGCGGCAACAAGGAGAGAGTGGATAAAGGAGATAATGATTTGCCATCCACAGACCAATGTGCCAATCAGGAGGTGGCAAATAACCAAAGTGGTCCCATGGCGTTGAAGATGTGGGATGCCCTCCTCTTTCAGATGTTCTCAACCAAAGACCGAATCATGCAACATGTCAAAGCAACCAAGAAAGATTCAGAAGAGAAAAAGGCATCAAAGGACAATCAAGCAGAAGTCCCCTCATTTGTCAATCGTCTGCCAATTTTGCTTTACAGCCCCCGTTTTGATGCCCGAAAGCTAAAAGAGGCGGCTGAGAAACCGCTGACAAAAATAGCAGCTGTGTTTGAGAGGGGGCTGATAAAACGCAAATGTCAGGAAGAGGAACACAAGGACTTCAACAGAAAGGCAAGAGGATTTGGTCCGACAAAAACTGATGCTGTGTAACTTGAACCGATGCAAAAGTATGTTTGGGATTGTTATATGATAAGTGCTGTGTATGGTTTCACTGTTGTGTAATTAATCATAAAACACAAAAAAGCTTGCTCAGTTAATTGAGGGAGTTGTGTAAGAAATTAGCAAACAAACATTTGTCAAGTTCAGGAACAAATACAGTAAGCTGTGGGCAATTTCTTAAATTCTGAAGGGAATAATATTAAATGTTTCATTGATTACTGCTCAATTGCCATCATCTTAAATCACTGTTGGGACTTAATATTTGGTATGATCCTTCAATTCAAACTAAAAAAGCAAATTTTGATTTAATAGGAAGAAAAATTCATATACTCCGCAACTCTCCTTGGTTTGATTTTTCCTTTTTCATCTAGTGTTGCCTTTGATTAAATGCATGAACTGTAGATACTTCGATTAAAAAAAAAAAAACGTATTGATTTCATCCTTTTCTATTTTTCTAAATAAGCTAGCTTTTAGTATACACTGCTAGTAGGCAGTTTAAAAAAAATCTATGTGATAAATAGGGCTTTTACATTCCTGGAACAACAGGGCAGATGGGTTTTGAAAGAAGAGAAACAGATGGATGAAGGATGAAGGTCCAGATAAAACAGATTTCTGTACAGTAAGTCAAGTATGGTTGGAAACATGAGTGGATTTTGAGGCTTTTGATCAGGGTAAGAAACTACAACCACATTTTGTTGGGCTTGGATATTTAAAAAGATACGAAACCTTAAATATTTGTTTTTAAGTCAAGTATCTGCTTAGGTCAAGAGCTGCTCAAGTGATTTTAACTTTAGGTAGGGCAATGTTGGATATGCTGTTGAGTTGGTTCATTATTATTATCTTCACTAAAATATACCAACAACTTTGGTCTGGATTGCCAATATATTTGCACATTTTTCATGATCCTAAAGGATAAAGTCTTTCAAAATTTAGTGTCCCGCTGATTTAGTTTATGAGGTCATCATCTAGACAAATTTTAATTTGTCAAAAACATTGGTTTCTGCTGACGTGGCTGCATATGTAATGACATTCCCATTAAGAGCAGCTGTACTTCATGTGTGGTGCTAATGAGTTATTGTGGGGTTGGTGGATTTTATACCTACTGAACATGTTCAGTGCTGTTAGCATCTTCACAGTGACAATGCTAGCATATTGGGGTTGGGAAAGAGACCTAATAATGGTTTTGGTGCTAAGATCATCATATCATATATTATCCAGCCCAAACAAATCAAAGAGTTGAACTCCTTTTGATCATAAATCCAAGCAGCATTATCAATTATAGATTAGTGTGACCAGATTTAACAGAAAGGACCTGTGTATATAATATGTCAGAGACCAGACTGTATCGAGGATGTGGAAGTAAAGACCAATGGATGATGATGATGATGATGATGATGATGATGATGATGATGATGATAAGTTCTGCTGAAGTAAGACAGACTAAGAGGGAAAACGTGATAGCTGGAAAAGATGTTTGATAATGAGCTTTGGATGATTTAGCTGCTGCAGTTGCAGAAATTAGCATGTTGATGTTGACGTTCATTTTGACCCTTTCTGTTGCTATGTTGAATTTTAATTTTTTTTTGCCTTACAAAAAAATATCACAATGTGGAGTAATCTTTGGTGAGGGGGGGCTTTACCCCTATAAGCTAACCACAGAGCCTTTTAATACACTGATGCTTAATACGGCATTTCTTCTTGTTCACTGTGTGATTCTCAAAAATGCATAAAGTTGAATGTGAAACTCTTGTTCTGTATATTTTATTTATTTTATCACAAAGCTTTGGTCGACATCTTCAACAGGGCGCGACAATAATCTAAAACCAGGAAGTACGTTAGCATTTTAGCACTATGGGGTTGTTTTACTCAAACTCAACAGGTTTTTTTGAAGGGGTGAGAATTCAAATTCTCACTGGTTTTACACACTAGAAAAAGTAGGGATGAGGTTTTTGAAGGCATACAGTAAAGGTATGTTTAAATGAGTGAATAGTTACTTAAATAATAGAAGCGCACATTTAAAAATGATTCCAACATTACATACAGCCTTAAAAAACATGATAGTCATCCTCAGATGTTTCTCACTGAGTGAAGGATGCACGATTGTTCTCACCTGACGGACAGTTTGCGTCTTCACCGGAGTCGTGATCGACAGAAACCTTCTCATACTTGCCGTGACCCGTCACCACAAACTTATATCTTTTACCGGCTGAGCCCTCCTGAAATTCAGATCATCAAATGACTTTTATCAGATACACGTTCACAAACATTTACACTGTGGCTTCATGTAGTCTGTTTTATACTACGGTGGCTGGGAAGTGCAAAACACAATTACAAAATGTGGCACACTTGTGCAAAGCTTGAGACAAATTTACAAGAGGCAGAACAATTTTACCATTCCCTAAACAAATTTAAGGAAAGGGAACGTACCAAAAGGGACCCGGAAGTGACTAACTGAGCGGTCAATTATTTCATTTTGGCGGGAATACTGTGTGAAATGTTTTATACATCGCTTAACTGTCTCTGGTGGTTCCACAAAATGGACAAAACATAATTCTGAATTTTGAAAATTAATGTTCTGCGACTTGTACATTAATCTCAGTGCTTGTGAAAGTGTTTTGCATCTTGTTAACTTGTTTTCCAAAACGTGTCTCAAGCTTTGTAAAACTGTTTCACACTTTGTAATTTTGGTTTGACCTTCCCAGCCACCGTACATGTATTAAACACATTACTAAGAGTAATGTCAGAATAATGTAACAAACTATTGTCTTAAGAAACGGGACTGAGAAGAACATGCTCACATATTGCATCTCTGCAGTGAAAAAACCCAGATTTGTCATGTTTAAAACACGACCAGGTTTCTTTTCCTGAAACCACAGCAGCACACACACTGCAGTTTGTCATGTGTGCTGTGTGAGCTCCACAATTATGAACTGGGTAGTTGCTGCGGCAGCCAACAGGGGGCAGGCTTTCACTGACCGCTCTGTTAAATTGAGATGATTTACACCAGATGAAAAGAGGCTGGGTGTGGTTGCATAAAGCTGACTGCACCAGAGAAAAATACAGACTGAAACAGAACTAAGAAGAACTTCAGAGAGGAAAAGGTGAATGATGTAAAATGCTTTTAGGAATTTTGCCAAATACAACCACGTAGCAAACTAGTAAATCACATTTAAAAGTTTTATGAAAAAAAAGGTCATTTAGGGTCAAATTGTGACTTACTGCTGGTCTGAAGGGCGAGCTGCAGCGGCTGGCGTCTTCACCTCCTTTCACCCACTGGTTGATGAGATCAGCCACCCCAACTTTTAATCCATCTGCATCCTGCTAGAAAAAAAAAAAAGAGGGACTACATTTTTAAACATGCTGTTTACACCTGTTTTTACTACCTATAAAACAAATCCCTCATTCAAACGTCTCAAAACTTAGTGGCAGCAAAGCATGCATCAACCACTTCTAAAGGTTTTTCATGCAACACTTTTGAGCCTTTAATTGGTAGAGGCTGTAAGCTTGGTGTACATTGTACGAGTTCAAGCCGACTTGGACCCATTTTTTGTGGCGTATGACTTATTATCATACGTCATGACCATGGACTGTAAATATTAATGCATGAGTGACGTCAGTCATCTGTTCCTGCAGGGGGCTCTGGAGGCTCATCAGCAGCAGCCGCCATGTTGGAAATCCTGTCTCAGCCTAACTTTCAGTCAACCTAATGACAGGCTGAGAGCTGGAGCTGAGGCGGGTTTTTAGCCTCCTGACAAACTGTTACACCGCAACGACCTGTCAGTCATGTCAGCCACGCACCTAACTATGGATAACACGCATCGTTCATGAAATCAAAACAGAGCTGTTTACTATAATTCACCCCCTTACAGTACAGTATCATCACCTTTTCCTTTCAGAGTACATTCACCTTTAAACAACATCAACATTAAACCTCACACCAGAACTGAGCAGGAGAAGGAGCGCCTGTTTATTCAGTCTTGCTGTAAGTAGTCTGTATGATGGATGAAGTTAATGTAACTGCTAACTTTGGATGGCGTGACTGAGACGCTGGATTGGTTCCAGGCTTCTCCGGCCTCAAACAGATTCTTCTTTGAAGAGACGGGTTCAGCAGGACTCGTCAGGTCTGTCAGCACCTGAACGCTTGGTCGGCCTTCTTTTGAGGAAACCTGAGAAAAAACATGTTGAGAATCGACAAGTTTTAAATTTTTAATATGTTTTACTCTTAGTTAAAGACGCAGGACCATATACAGATGTGTTGCTTTTTCTTTTGATGAATTGATAATAACAATTTCAATGCATTTGCAATAATGTTAAGGCCCAGACTGACTCTAATTATAAGAGGCTTGAAACTAAAACCTCCAAAATGGAGGTTCATAATGATGAAAAATGAAAGGCACCCATCTAAAAAAGTACCAATCCTTTACTAAATTGGCTATTTCATCACAGAAATGTTAAAAACTGGGTTAGTCATCCAGTTTTTTGATGACTTTCCCCACCAAAGAGCACCTTCACTATGTTTGAACTTCCAAGCTCTCTTGTTTTTATGCACTTTAGAGGTTTCTCTGTGTGCTGTGTTTCTTATTATTCGTCAACATGGCTGCAGTGATGAGGTTGTTGTTTGTCATAGTTTTTATTTTAAGAGCCAAAGAGAACAAACAAACATGTTAAGAGTCACTCGGTGGGGTTTTACCTCGAGGGCGTGTGTGTACTGTTCCAGCTTCTTGTTAATCTTGGAAACAGGGAGAGGTGGCGGCGTCTTCTTTGTGCAGCTGGTGCTTTAAAAGAAAGGATTAATGTTCAGGTAAATTCTGCTGTCAGCCCAAATAAAAGGTTTAATAGTTGTACAAGTGTCAAATAATTGCTGAGCATGCACAGATTGTGCCTCAGGAGCTAAATCGAAGCTTGATCCAAAGGTGAAAAAACTCAAGCCCCAGTCCAACCCACAGACTGTAAATGTTAATGTTTGAAGCCTGAGTGACGTCACCCATCTGTTCCTGCAGGGGGCTCTGGAGGCTCATCAGCAGCAGCTGCCATGCTGGAAATCCTGTCTCAGCCTAACTTTCAGTCAACCTAACGGCAGTGGACACTCAGCGTACTGCAGGATTCTGCACTTCCGCATCAGCTTCAGCTTTTCAAGATCAGAGGTTGCTGCATGGTCACACCTTGGAACATGTGACCCCAACGACTCATAGACAACTGGGAGGGTTAACAACTCAGCTAACAACTCTCATGTGAGTCAGCCTTGATAATTAGCATGCTAATCATCCACAGAGGCTTAGATTTCTAGCTCCGTCCATCATATAGTTCAGAACTGAAAAAAGCTTTTCAGAGGAGCAGAGACGAAAAATCTCCAAGATCTTCAACCAAGTCCAGCTGCCTTTGGATCAAGCTTCAAATTTACCATGACCCGGGTGACTGAAAACATAAAGACAGCTTTAACCGAGTGTCTGTTCAGGGGAAGTCTTTGTGAACAGCACTGCACTTTGATTTTGTTGCTTTTATTCCTGTTAAGTGTATCATAATAAGAGATGTTTGCAGACCTTCACAAACACAGACTCACCTTTTCTTCAGCGACTCGGTTCTCTCTATGATCTAAAGGAAAGAATCAGGAGAATCAATAAACTCTCGGGAATAAGACTTGTAACACGCACATGGGAAATGTGAAACAGACTTTTTATTGAGGCGTGTTCCATTCCATCTGAACTACAAACCAGCACTGAGTTGTAGTTTCAAGTAATTATAAACAGATATCTTTTCATCAAGCAAATCAGAAACTTGTGTTCTCTTTGTAGGGGAGGGTTTAAGAAAAAAACACTTCAATCTGAAACATGGAGTAAATTAAAGGAGGTTGTGAAATACTTAAATGAGAGGGGAAACATTTTTTCATGCAGCACTAAAAGTGTTTACAAGCTGGAAGCAGGATTAAAACATGTAAAACATACAGTAGGAATGAGGAAAATAATAAAAACAAATAGTGTGCCAGAATTAAAGCAGTCAAAAGATTTTTAAATCAACATTAATCACATTTTAATTACTTGTTTGAAACTCTGCTATTTTGCACTCAAACAGTTGTTGTGCTTTTATTTTGAATTTATGTACTGTCTTAATAAGGGTATCTTACTGTTGGCTTTGATGAAAACGTCATTTTTATTTTAAAATAACATAATGAACTCCTCGTAGATCGAAGGTCAGGGAATGAACTTAACAACGGAAAAACAAACTTTTTACAGATCACAAAAAAAGTGAGAACAGCTCTAAGGAATGGTATTAAAGTGAAATGTTTGATGTCATGATGCTGATTTGACTTTGGACTCGTTAACTGAGCTGTCTGGGAGATTTTTTCAAAATTAATGAGCCATTCAAAGATGCAGCTGGGTCGTTTAGAAAAAAAAAACACTCACCTATGGTACCCCAGCACGTGATTAATACGATTAAAAAATGAACCCATTAATTTCTGACCTTAATCACATTGCGATTAACGCATTACCGATGACAGCCTTAATTCAAACAGTGAGCTAGAATTGATAAAAGTTGAGTAATTAAGAAGTTCTGGATCCGTTGATGCTTAAAAGAAGTTGATAACAGAAGGAAAGAAGAAGAAGTGACCTGCTACATCCCTGACATTCATTCACAGCAGTACTCACCTTGCATTTAACATCTGTTGAGACTCTGCTGTTTGCTTCATCCTGTACAGAGACACAGATCACTGTCAACATCATATCCAGACAAACAGTAAGCTACATGAATCCTGTTTCTGACATAAATATCAGTCCAGAAAAGTGTGACACAAGCTGACACTTGAACAGGACTTACCGGGTAGAACTGGATGAGGAGTTTCTGTTGAAATCAAAGCATTAACAGATGGTTAACATGATACAGCCTAAAAATAATTGATCTATTTCAATACTTAAATCTTGAGGAATTAGTGACAGAACAACTCGTCCTGTCGGAACACATCAGACAAACTGTGCATGGCTGGTGTCCAACATGAAACAGGAAGTAGATGATGTTCTTTCAGAGCTAAGTGGCTACTTAAAAACAAGGTACACTGTAATTTTGGGGGGACTTTTTAAAATGTAATTCATGGAATGAAACGGTATTATATATATATATATATATATATACATTTATATTTTATATATTTTATACTCCATAAAACAGCTGACTTTGGGTTTGTTGAGATACCTTGAATGTGGGGCTCATGGGTCCGTAGCAGTTTAATGCCTCGTCTCCTTCGCTGCTGCAAACAGATTCTGCAGACCTCCTGCTCATCTCCTCACTTCTCCTGCCCTCCGCTGACCTCTGAGACACAAACACCAACATACATACATCATCATCATCATGCCACTGCTTAACCAGCAGTCTGTAAGAGTAGAAAAATATAGATGGAATAATGTCACGTTTGAATGTATCACCTCATGATTAAAAACCTTCTTAAGCTCACATGGCCACCCGGGCTGAGTTATTTGAGGAATCTCGGGAACACTGGCAAACAGCAGGTGCTAAAAGAAATAATTTGTTACATGTTACATCAGAGCTGTTCTCCTCGGGCTGCACGTTTCGTTTCTACACTTTCTGTGCCAAACAGGCATTCTTTTACTTTACTACTTTCAGATTTATGAACTGTGAATGTTTTTTAACAGCATGCATGTTTTTCAAAGTCATGTTTCATGAAACCCTGCTAGAAGACACATTTGGTATTTATACAAGTATCACTGATCTGGTAAATGGTACATGGACTTGAGCTTGTATAGCGCTCTTCTAGTCTTCTGACTTTACACCGCATGTCTCACCTACACATTCACACACTGATATTAGAGGCCGCTATGTAAAGTGTCCATCAGAACACATTCATACAAACAACACAGCTGCCGTAGCAGTAAGAAAAACTTGGGGTTAAGTGTCTTGCCAGAGGAGACATCTGAAATGTGGCTGCCGAAGCTGGGAATCAAACCCCTGACCTTCTGGATGAGAGACGACTGACTCTACCAACTGAGCCAATATTTGACCAGAGACCCGTCATTAACCCAAGATGTGGAAACAGTGTGACTTTCACCATACATTTTAGAAATCACCTCGATGACTACATCTTGGAATTAAAGGTTGCAGGGATGTAATAGTATCAATAACATTGGACAGCTAACCTCGTCTGGCATCTTCTCCTCCTCCTGGTCCTCCTGGTCCTCCTCCTCCTCTTCCTTGTGTCTTTCCTCCTGTCCGAAGTGGAAGTCTTCCTTCCCTTCATGTGTGAAGCTCAGCTCTTCTTCTTCCTCCTCCTCATCTTCATCTCTGTGGCTCCGTGGGGCCCCTGCTGACCTCCACTCCCTCTGCAGGTCAGGTTGCACCTCCATTTCTTCCTTCTGCTCGTCGTGCTTCACCCCCCCATCCACCCTGCGGGCCCCTCCTCTGTGGAGGACAGCAGATAACTGGTTAATAAAATGGTGAACGTGAGAAACTGCCATGATCAGATCCTACTGAATCAGTACCAGGAGAACAAACAGAAAAACTTCAAAAAAAGAGTAAAGCACACACCGGGGCTTCATCGTCCCCGCCACCAGGTAGGACGTCCTGTCAGGCAGCCTGACGTCCTGTGGCAGGAAGACTGTTGAGCTGTAAGACGTCCTGATTTCTTTCCTGTTGCTGGACATCTACAATGAGCCAAAAGAAAATATGGTAAGCCTAACCTGTAACTCTAAAGTGAAGGACGTTTTCAGATCCTTTACCGACATAAGAACCAGTAAAATACATAGTTCATAATATTAAATAAAGGACTGGACTGAACAACACAACAGAAACAAACACAGACTCATCGGTTACTTTACTTGACTCTACTGATCTGTTAGTGTACCTTCTGTGTAGGTCTTTGAGCTTCCTGTGATGGACTGCTTTGTTCTGGAGTACATCCCTCCTCCTCTTCTTTCTCCTGCTGTTTCTCCACTTCAGGCTCTGGTTTCCACTGTGGTGGTAAAGATCTCTGCACCCTGGCTCTACAGGCAACTGGCACCTCCTGGTCATTACGATTCTCCAACCTGTGACTCCAGTCACTGAAGCCCTCGTCCTCCTCCAGAACCAAACGGCAGGTGGGCTTCAGCTCCTCGTCCAGCCTGAGGAGCGATAGGAGAACGGTTACACGACCATTGAAGTCATGCTGGTCAAGCCAGGAAATCTCCATTAGGTCCCATATAAAAATGCCCAATTTTACAGCAGAAATAAACACGTTTATAGCCTGGCATTAAAAAGCTGTTTGGTCTCTACAGCTCATTTCTTTATTTGAAAAAACTGTAAGGGGTGTAAAACATTTTTATAACTAGTTTTGATTATAGGGCTGCATGGTGGTGCAGTCAGCGAGGAGGTTCCTGGTTCCAACGCCCATTCGGACAGGGCCTCTCTGTGTAGAGTTTACATGTTCTCTGTGGGTACTCCGGTCCAAAAAAATGCTTGGTAGGTTAACTGGTGACTCTAAATTGTCTGTAGGTGTGAATGTGAGTGTGGTTGGTTGTCTGTCTCTATATGTCAGCTCTGTGATTGACTGGTGAACAGTCCACGGTGTACACCATCTCTCGCCCAATGACAGCTGGGATCTGTACCAGCCCCCCCACGACCCTGAACTAGAAAAGCAGTATTGATAATGGATTGATGTTTTGATTATATTAAGGGTAACACTTATGAATATATTTGAATAGTTAGGGGCGTGGGTGAGGTGAGTGACAGGTTGGTGGGTTGTAGCCGTTTGCTACCTCTTTGTCTGTTTTTAGACTGATGGTTGGGCTGAGATAGCATTTCCAATAGGGTGAATGCCATCGTTGAGCTTCATAACGCCTCCTCAGAAACCAATGGGTGACGTCACTGAGGCAATGATGTCTCTTGTTTAGTATGAACCCCCTTCAGCTGCTGTTTTTGAAGATGTTAAGTGCATCTGTTGGCGTTGATTAGATTTACACACATGTTGGTTTTGTTCATTTTGCTGGCAGTCATTAACAAAGAGCTTCGCTCAGACACGACATCAATTGATGTTTCAACCAAAGGTTTTCTGCTCTTGATGGGGGTGAGGGTTAGAGTTAGGGTTAGGCTGGTTTAGAGGATATACTGAAGGTGCTTTTTGGGCTTTTGCAATGGATTTAAGCGCTCCTGTGTGTGCATACAATTTATCAGAGGTGTATAGGTGTATATCAAGGTGCCAAGAAAGAACCAATTACATGTTGGACTGGATCCAGCTAAACACCCTGGTGTCTCGGATGTTACCCAAAGGTTTCTGATGGGGCAGAGTGTTTCACCAGATGGCAGGTTGCAGACAGGACCTGTAGCCTCAGGCTCCCTGGAAACAGAGACGGTCTCCATGGAAACAATAAACAGAGTGGCACTGTGGACTCTTGTTCCAGGTGAGCTCACATCAGCAGAGTGGACCTCGTCTGCGCTAACAAAACACCTAAAAGCTTATTTTTTTTCCACAGTGTCTAGCGGCTTGAGCATGTAAGCTGTGCTTGTTTAAGACTTCACTTAATTCAGGTTTACAAAGAATGAATGAAGCAGGATCACACAAAAACAGTTCTCACTGCGGCCCAGTATTATGATCAGTCTCATGTGGTCTCTTTAAACTTCTTGTTGTTTAAAGTTAAAGTCAAAGTCTTGTTGTGTTAGTTTGCAGTGTTTCAAAAACTTCTCAAATTTGGTGGGATTTAAGGTCATGGACTGAAGAAAGTTACCAGGAAGCCATTTATGAAACCTGAGGCAGAGATATACTTCACAGGATTTCTCAGCTATGTCATCAATGAACACTTTTTGCAGAAGTCCCCTTCAATTAAAACCACATTTGGCTCATAAATACTTTGGTTTCACTGCAATCCCCCAAAAGTATCAGTAAATAATCTAATTTCATTTTTGCAGTCTTCGGCTACAGTCTATAAATACAGGGTGATGAACTGAACAGTGTTGATGTCCCAGCTGCTTTGTGAACCAACAAGCTGTCTCACAACCAAACTTCACTGTACGCTTGCTGGAAAAACCATCAAGCTGATAATTAAACCAATGAACAGTGCAGCATTTGATGAGAGAACTACGTTTCCCTTCAGAGTGCTGTAAACAAGTCTGATCAGCAGCTCATAGTCTCTGCTGATGATGAGGAGTTTTCCCCTCATCACGTCTCTGAGCGATCAACCAGAGGCATCTCTCTCAGCGTATTTAGCTGCAGCATCACTGGACTGAACCATCAATTACACACATAAACAAAAGTCTTTCCCCTTTAATCAGCACTGCGGGGTGGAGACGCAGCTGTAAACATGAAGAGACGTGGTGTTAAACAAATAAGTCACTGCTGCAAAGACTAAAATCGTTTAATTAGTGCTGCAACCATATTTAGTACTCACTGTACTTATTACTTTAATGAATACATATGCTTATACCAAATCTACGGCGTTTGATGAGTCAAAAGGCTTGGCCTCGTTTTATACGACTCGCATTAAGAAAATCGTGTAGCAAATTAAGAGAAGTCGACTAAAGACAAATGCTGAATGCTGAACACATGCAACTTCAGAAACATGCTGAAATGCAACAAACTCGCTGCAAAAAGTCGAAACAACTGCATTGACATCAAACGCACTGCAAATACATACAAAGCAAAAACACACATATTTAAAAAAAGATCTGCAAATAGACAAACTGCACATCCAGGCTCAATCAGAAGTGCTCAGTTTAACTGTTTTTTTTAATTAACAGGAGAGAGCTAGGGTGAAGAGGAAGTGAATTCATTGATTGGATGGGAAAATATCATAGCTTGAAGACAGAGAGTAAAGCTATAGAAATTCAGCAATTAAGAGATTTGAAGTCCAGTCTGGACTTTGACAGAGGTGCTGTGTGTGTCGGGGGCAGCTAGGGCGACATCCCTAGTCATTTCTGCCTTTTGCACTTGTCGGCCACTGTACAAATCTTTTAACCAATTTTTTTAATTTATGGTAAAGTTGGTTTAATTTCTTGCTTGAACGAACAAGATGAATATCCAACACTACTAGCTTAGCTTAGATTTAAGATTGGCAGCAAGTGGAAACTCCTAAACCTGACTAATTGATGTGTGGTATCTTGTTTGTTAAATGTCTTCATAAACTGAAGTGTAAAAATGACACGGTGTGGTTTTAACAAGGTGTTATGTGGTGGACCGTTTCTTGGCTGTTAGCAGGAATGTCACGCTTAAACAAAGGAAACATAAAACCTTAATTAGTGAGCAATGGAGATGAAAACAGACGTTGAGTGGAGGATGTAGTCGGAGGTGCTTGTTGTTTTGGAGACTCAGGCCGGCTGTTTTCTGTTTCTAGTCTTTATGCTAAGCTAAGCTAAGATTAGACACGCCAACCTTCTGCTGTTTCTGAGTCTATATTAACTGTACAGATATGAGTTCTTTGAGTTCCTTCTTTGTTTCCCAAAATATCAATAAAAAGCCACAATAGTTCTTTATTACCTTTCTCAAAGATCCTATATTATACTCATTTTCACATTTCTTGTTGTCAGTCTGTGAAACCTATAGAGTAGCTTTGCATGATTTGCGTTTCAGCTGCTGTCTCTTTAAGGCCCCCCTCCCCACGTGCCCACTTTCTTCTGAGTGGCCAGCTCTCTGGAAGTCTTTGGTGGGGCAGAACGCTGCAGGGCTGCTCCCAGCGCTGGGACCAGAGAGCCTATGTAGGAGGTTTCAAAAGCTTTCATTGAGGCTTGAAGCCGTTTCAAGAAATTCTTGGTTTCATATCGGAGAACTATCGCATGATTTGCATAACAAGCTGTTTAGCGCCCTCTGCAGACCTATCCTGGGATTACTCCAACACATATTTACCTCATGAGCTGAAACTTTGCCCACTTGTAGTATGGACATCCGGCATTGAAAGATGTGAGTTTTGAAATGGGGATAAGCATGATAGGTCAACTTTAAATACTTAAATGTCATGTTTATTTGCCACGGTGCTGATGTGCTCTTTATTTACTTAATGTGAAAGTATTTCTTCGTGACCCTCAAGATGCAGTGAAACATACATGTACTTACTGTTGACCTCACTAAGACATAAATCTATTTCCCATATAACTTTTTATAGGCCTTAAATGTGTTATCCTCATACTCACTCTCTGTTGTGTGGGAGGTCGTCGTGGGGGGGCTCAGGGGGGGGCTCTGGCCAGGAGGGACTCCCCTCTCCTCTCTGCTTCTCTCTGGTTCTCCTCCTTCTCTCCCGCTCTACCTCCTCAGCATCCTCCTGACTCCGCTGGGCCGTCACCCTACAACCAACACAGACACCAAACAGAGGCCTTCAGCACACTCTGACACCACAGAAACACTCTGAGAAGTTGGCAGTCCTTTGACACCAGCTGCCTGCAAATGCCTCAATCCCCAGGGGCTTTAAAATGCTTCATTTTCACTACATAGCTGAGAGTATGTTGACACCCTTACATTACAGCCATATGTGATTGTTAAACATGTCATTCCAAAACTGTGAGCAGTAATCTGCCGCTATAACAACGCTTCTGGTTTCAGTTTTTCCACCAGACGTTGGAGCCGAGCTGAAGGGATTTGTCCCCCCTCAGACACAGAGTATTAGAGGCTCAGCTCTGATGTTGTGTGATAAAGGATAACTTATTCAAGTTAATCCCAAAAGTGTTGGATAGGGATGAAATCAGGGCTGTGTCATAGACTGTAAATATTACTGTGTGCACGCATCACAAGCTGCAACATGTGTGGCTGCAGTTCCTTGGCTGTTATTGTACTAAAAGACGATCTGAGAAGTGAGTTAAGGTGAGGGAAATTATCATATTACTTTGTGGCAACGACCATTCTTTTTTTTTTAAGTCTATCTTCCCACATTGCATGAAAATACCATGCCTTCAACAAGCTAGCTTTGTGTTTGGAGACATGTTGAAAAATGAGATCTTCAAAGTGTTGCGACAGAGTTGGAAGCATGTACTGTAAGTGTCAAAAATATCACAGCAGGTAGAAGCTTTAGCATTTATTTTAACTGTAGGTTTGAGCCCTTAAAGGCAGGGTTGGTAACTTTCAAAAACTAGCATGATTTCTAATGTAGCATTCCCTCCAGAGGAATATAAACGAGTCTGATGCAGGGAAACGATCTTAAATAGGCTACTTTCTCTGCTCTATTAATTACTTTGACACTCAATTTTACATTAGTCATACTTCCTGTTTGTTATTTGTTTGCAGCAACACTTGGTATCTAAGGAAAAGCTGACGTGTGTTGTATTCAGGTACAGTAAAATAATTTGGGAAAAATGAGCTGCTCTTGTGTTGCACAGGAAGCCCATTCAGTTCTTTTGTCTGATCACGTTTAGTTTCCAGTGGGCCGGACTTGATAACAATAAGTCTCTTTATTGTTCAAGCACATCTGGCAGAGCTGGAGCCAGCTGCTGTGCTGTTTCACTTAAATTAAATCTCTGGAGGGAAACAAAGAAAGAGGGAGGGTAGGGGGGTGAAGGGATGGAGGAGGAGGGATGATGGAGAGAGACCTTAATCCTGCCTGGCCAGAACTCCATCTCGTCATGGAGGTCTGGAGAAAATCTGGAATAACAAGGACTTTGGAAATATTCAGTCAGCCATGTGATTGGATGTAAGTTTGAAATCTCTTGAGAGCACCTGTTATTGGGTACAAATAACTTTTCCTAAGTCTGATGTCATTGGCTTTAAAGGATAATTACAGTTTACAGCTTGGATCTCATTTGGGGATTTGGCCATGATAACATTGAATTAACCAAAATAGTTGCAGAGATCTCAAAGAATGTGGTGCCAAACGTTAGAGAGGACGAGAAAGTAACAGTCATACATGATGCAACATTGGAGTTGTTGTTGCTGTGGTCCAATACAACAGTTCTGCCTCACAATATAAATAAGGCTGGCTACACACTGGATGATTTTCAAATCTTTACCGATTTTAAAAACATAGGATACCACGAAGAAGAAGAAGATTTTCATCTGACTTCTAACATTATAACTCTCTGACCGTACATGGTTGGTTCCAGAAGGCACACTTTTGAAAAGGGCTGGATCTCCGTTGTGTAAACTGGAAATATTCAGTTCCTCTGAAACACCTGAACAGTTCCGGTCAGGGCCATGCACGATAAGGTGGACTACAACAACAACAACAATGGCTGAATCCTGAGTTCTGCTTGTGCTGCTCACTCTATCGAATATGAAACGCTTTTTCATCAAAGTGTAGATTTACTGCACCATCACTTTCATCAGGATAGAAGCATTGCTGAGCATTGCTCCAAATTCTAAATCCACCAATACACCGGTGAGGGGCGGTTAACCATTTTTGTATGTTTACATCTCACCGCTCTGTATCCAGAAGAGTATGTTTGCACGTTGTTTCACTACAAAGTCAAGCCAACTATTGGCATGGCATGTGTACTACAGTGTTTTTAGTCGTTTTGTGGCTACGTGTGCCACATGTGCGTTATCAAAATGTTGTTGACTCGTCTGAACACTGCTTCTGAAAATAAAAATGAAAAACTATTTTTTTGTGTAAACGTGGCCTAACTCTGGAACGAGTCTTTGAACAGAACAGAGGCTGGACAAGTCTACTGGTAAATTCAGATTCTGGATTGCAGCAGCATCAAGGAGAAGAAACAGGCCAAAACCTTGAGCTTGTAGGTACTCATTAACAAACACATAAAACATGCAGACTGTTCCCCTTCACTGACCAGTTGTGCAGATTTAATGCGCTGTCTTTTTTTACAGAATGATGATTAATGTTCCTGAAATATCAAGACATCAAACATTTGCTGAATGAACTCATCGAATTGAAGTATAAAAGGCTGATGTGAATGTCTCATTAGCCGTGGCTGTTGAGGACACTGTCCACGTGCGTCTTTTAGTCAGACATACTGCGGTCATTATTATGTGGGAAAGTGACCTACATGAGATCATGCTCAGCGGGGACACATTGGGAGCCATATTGGACGCAGTGGGAGCCATATTGGCAAGAGTGGGTCTTTGGTTTGCTGTAAATCAGTTGGATGTGTGATATGGGTCTGTTTTAGATTCTCTGTTAGATGTTTTTTGGGGGGAAAGGGTCAACTGGGGATGAGATAGGTTGTCTGGATCTCATCAGTTCTGTCTGAAATATAACAAAAGGAAGGAGCTGAAATTCCTCTGAGGACTATAATGGTGATTTTGCATGCTTTAGCAAAAAACTTCATAATCACATTTGTTTAAATTCTAACTCCCAACGTCCATACCCTGACTCTTAAAGCACCCCTAAAGAGTTTTATCAGATTATGAAACAGACCTAAAGGAATATTGCAGTATCTATGTGATCTTTAAGAGAAAAAGAGACAGGCAAGAAGAAGACCGATGATTTCTATTTTGTTGTTTTGTGTCTGCTTGCACCGCTACTGGGTCGCTGCATTTAAATTGTCAACTGAAAAGTCAAATGTGAATATTCACTGTAAGAGATAAATATTACAGTTAAAGGACAGCAGGAAGAGACTTCTTTTAACCAGAAAACATGACTTATAGACAAGATCAATAAAGAGATAAGTTTTGCTTTTCATTCACATTGGTCGCAAAAGATCGACACAGAATGAACATTCCTCAAAGGAAGGAACTCGAAATGAATCTCCAGAGTTTTCCCAGTGTATAAAAACTATAATCTATTGAAGCAAATGGTGATCAAAATTCAAATTGAAATTAAATGAAAATTAAACCTCATTCACAGAAATATACAGTATTTGAATAATACATAAAATGAATATCCAATTATTCAATTTGCATTTTAATTTTCAAAGAATGCCTCACTAAATTATGATCATAAAGAAAATTAAATAGCTAATTTGAAAATTAAAATGCATTAACATTTTTTGAAAAAAAAACAAACTGTGCCCTATATTCCAAGATTAAAAAATGCTTTTGGGCAGATATAACTTCTGCTTACACGCTAATCTTGTCCCCACGCTTCATTCTTGATGTTGATGTAAAGCACTTTGGGATACATTTGTTATATGAAAAGTGCTATACAAATAAAGTTTGACTGATTTATTGATTCTAAAATTTGACAACTATGTAAAAAAGCAAATACATTTAAGGACAGGTTATAAATACCGATGAAGAAAAGCTTTTAATCACAATATCTGTTGAGGATCAAAAAGTCTGATGCAGAAAATGTCTCTAAAATGTTCAATGACAACGTATGACTTTGTTGTCCGCTACATTATGCAGCTTATTTTTTTTTACTTTCTGGGGCATTATTTTAATTTTGTATAATTAGTTATTTAACATACTAAGCAGTTCTGAAGATCTTGCACATACAGTATGATGATAAGCAGTAATCACAGATGTGTCTATGATCTCACTTAAACACTGATCCAAATGGCTTCCTCGCTGATGGTTTTGACTATTTTCCCTTCACAAAATTACTCCTATTGTTTTTTGGATTTGAAAGAGTTTCTGAATTATTATCATCACCATTTCCATCCATCTTTTCTGTTTTTGGTCTCCATGGTTATTGTTTTCTCACAACTCAACAGAGACTGAAGGAAACCGTACACGTTCTTTCATTTCTCTCTGGCAAAGCAACCACTGGAATATCGGCTCAACACCTAATTATTTAGAATAACGAATACCAGAATGCCAAAATCATGATGCACAATTATTATAATTAATTTGGCAAAAGAAAAAGACTTTAAATTAATTTAACTTAAAATTCAACTTTAAAGGAGGGGATGATGAGATACTCAGCTTGAGCAGAGCTGCTGCTGATCTTAAAGGAGCAATATTTAACTCTGTCACCTAGTGTTTAAAATGGGTACTGCAGTCAAAATTCAAGACATTGTATAGAGCTGTCCCCCCCGCCCCCTCCTCTCTAGAGTCGATGTTCACACAGGTTGCCATGTGGTGGACACTGAAGCTTCAGTGTTTATCCAGCTCTGCATTGGTCTGTAAACCTCTCTCCATTTTTTAAAAGCATCTCCAATATTGATCCTAATTTGAGAATGTTTCTGCTTGTGGAGCTTATTAGAGACATGCAGAGGCTTTTTAGGTCGAGTACAATCACTTCTATCTGAACCAGTTCTATCGCCCGCTTCCATCACTGGAACACCTGTTGGTTTGCTGTTTGCCTGGCAAGTCTTTTCTGTTTAAAAAGGACACAAACTGCTCATTAGCATTTTAATGGAACCCTGATCTCTCCCATACTTCACCAGAAGGCTTTGATTGTCTAATATGAACCACAGGCCGGATCCTGCATGCAAACCAAACACTCTGATGTTTAAGAGCATTGTACAACCTCCACCCTAGTTTTCATTCTCAAGAATATGCAGCCACTAAACATAAGATATTAAATGTGGCATTTACCTTTATAAACAATGTACCTAGAAAAAACATTTTAGTACTGTATTTACAGACAGGATGCTGGATGAAAAGAATATCTATGAGGACTTTTTTGGGGGCTCCATGAATATCTGAGTGGTGATTAAATACATGTCAAACCCACAGCTGAGGACAATTAGGCCATTAACTCACTCTTAAATGACTTTTGGGAAATGTAGGAAGTCATGAAGATTAATTCATGCAGCGTTCCCTTTCGGGGGGGGGGAAGGTCTCAACGGGACAGTCTGTACCTTCAGGTATCTCCAGAGTCTGCTGGGACATTTAAACCCGATGCTGAGAGGCATGAACATGAAAAGAGCAGAATTTTAGAGGAAATGTGACGGATACACATCATTTTTTCCACCATTTACACAATGAGGCAATGGAGGCCTGAGGAACGGGGTTGTCTTTGTGTGTGTGAGTGAATGTGTGTATGTGTGTGTGTGTGGGCAGGAGGGGGTTGAGGACTCAGCCAGATGATGTCATGGTCGTTAAGGAAGTTGCAGCAATAAAAGAAGCCATTGAACTCAGAGCTCGGTGTCATGTTTGGTGAAGTCACACAGTTTGTTCCATCGATCACTCAGGAAAAGAAGAACGCTCACTGACATTAAGGAACAGTAGTTTAAAGACGGATGCAATTATTGAAAACAACACGAGAAATGAGCCTCCCATGCCTTTTATCAAAGGGAATAAACATCAGTCAACTCTGCACGATAGAAACTGATACTGATACTCTACTCTGTTTTCCACTGCACACAGTTCTCGGGATTCTTAGCTGAGCATCAAATTGGTGTTCTATTGTATGTTTGTTGTGATTCTGAAGATTATTTTTGGGGCTTTTAATGCCTTTAATGAGAGGACAGGAGAGTGGATAGAGTTAGAAACAGGGCTGACAGATTGAGGGATGACATGAGGCAAATGCCAAAGGTGGGAGTCAAACCTCGAGGGCTCAGCCTTCTCACATGGGAAAAGTGATTTTAACCACTGAGCTTAACAGACATCCCTAATAGCTGTTTCAGCTCTGCTTGAGTCTTCAAGACATTGACCATTACCAAAATGAGGATATCCTTGGTTTCAATAGTTAAGCCAATGCAGGTTAGCCTAAACCTAATTTTATGTGGCTAATGGCCAGTTGGAGTACGTTCAGGAAGACTTTTTGCCTTTACGGTCGGGTCTATCTCTTTTTCATCCCTCTCACGCACGCTCAATCACATTTATGCTGTCATTCTCTTGAGCTGTCATTTTCTGTGGCTGTCATTGGGTAATCAGCTGTCTCATCAGTAGTATTCATCTAACCAATTGCATGGCATTCCTCCCTCATTGTCAGCCTGGCATCGTTCTACTCCCCTTTTGAATATGATTCTTTCTCTGTGTTAAGTTCCTTCAAGCCAATGTTTCATACGCCCTCCACCTCTCCATCACTGCCCATCTCTGCAGAATCATCATCCATCAATTCTTCACCCATCTGGTCTCAACAAGTCATCAGCTTCACCACCATCAGGCCCTGGACTCCATGGAGGGGATATATTCTGTTGACACTCAAAAGTGACATTCTCCAAACACATCAACCGCCTCATAGAATCCAAGCACCAAAGAAGTTCTGTCAAATCACATCTCCATGTTTTCTATTGTAATTAATTATTTCTTTATTCACTTGACTCCTGATTGAAAATGGTGCTCTGTATCTTTTTTTTATCTGGTGTTCCACATGGCCTCATTCTGGGTCCCTTACTTTTTTCTTTTCTTTAATGTTTTAGTCCATAACATTGAGAACACCTTGTACTTTTTTACTCCTTCATTGGCACTTATACTTCATAGTAACAGTGAAGTCAATGCAGGAAGAATTTTCTAGCTGCCACTACCCCAATCTGTAATCACAGTAAATATGAAAAATCCTCCCTGGAAAATCATATAGTTTAGCACTAAGAGCTTTGATATCCATCATTATAGGTTTTAAAACTTAAAGTATAGCTGTTTTGAGAGTTTAATACTTGGGCAGAAGTTTACCTAAGCTCCAATGTTTGGATTTTTTTGTTTCAGTGATTTTCACTGATTGTAAGAAGCTGTAAATATGGCTGACAGTGCAGACGCTACGTCATGCTCTCCACAGACTGTAACCCCTCCACATCCATCTAGAATCATGCATGCACACTCATTCTGTCCTGGCATCAAACTGTTTAAAGTGTCAGGATCATCTGACCTCAGATTAATAATGTTGTGAGATTTGTTCTAACCACCTTTGTTCAGATTTGATGTTGGTGTCTGCATATAATCCAGCTGCTAATAGATTCTTTAAGTGACATGTGAGGCTTTACAAGTCAAAAAATACATATTTCAATTGTTTTTTGTTCTTGGTTGCGTGTTCAGTTATATCTCTTTGCAAGAAAAAATTACTTTAAACTGTAATTCAAGAACTAGAAACCTTTTCTGACTAGCAGTGATGCAGAAAAAAAAATCCACCTCCGGTAATAATCTGGTTTACAATTTGATCTTGGTTATCATACAAAAACACAGAACATTTGAATAAAGCTTGGAGTAAAAGATCAAAAGATCCTGCATGGAGGCAAAGTTAGAAACTACGACTGACAACAACCACAAACAACTGAGCCTCATCCCAAAACATACCACCAGTTACGTCTTGTTATTTTCTACATGAACACTTTTCAAATCAGCACCCATGACCCATAACAGAAGTTAGGAAAAGTTACTACATTGTGTTTTTTAAGAACATAAACATTCTCCTTTGTGGTTTCTTCCACCCCTTTTCTGCAGATGTAAACATAGAATCAATAATATCAATACAACACTCCCTTAAATGTTAAATGGACTTGAGCTTGTATAGCCCTTTTCTAGTCATCTGACAACTTAAAGCTCTTTTACACCGCAGGTCAAACCTACACATTTACACACTGATGGCAGAGGCTGATATGTAAAGTGACCATCAGAAGTAACTAATCCCATTCATAAAGATGCGTATGCCAACGAAGCAGCAGGAGCAACGTGGGGTTAAGTGTCTTGCCAAAGGACACATCAGACATGTTGCTGCAGGAGCTGGGGATCTAACCCCCGACTTTCTGGTTGAGAGACAACCGATTCTACCAAATGACCCACAGCCGCCCCCCACTGACCCACAGCCGCCCTTACAAATTTGTTGTTCATTGCAAATAGATACGTCTCTAGTAACCATAACTGTCAAAATTTTGTCAATGAAGTGAACAAAGATAAATGAAGAGGAATTATCTGTCTGGAAGATAGTAAGACAGTGGTAAATAGAGCAGATAATGACCATTAAATATTACAGTAAATGACTGACTTGGATAATATCACTTCTTCTGGTATTTCACTTTTTTGTTTTTTCTTATTTGATGTTATTTGTACTATGTTTGAAGCCTTTCACAAAATATTGAACTCTTGCTCTCTTTTCATTAGAGCACGGTTTTTAAAGGCATTTAAAGGCATAGGGTTCCCCAGGCAGTTGCCTGCCTTGCCTGTTGACAAGCTGCACCTCTGTCGGTTATATATAACGTAACGGGGATGAATGCTAGTTGGAGGGGCCCCCTGTGAGTTTTTGCCTCGGAGCCAAACAGACTCTAGATTAGCCACTGGTGATGTTCACTCCCAGTCCACCCTGGTGTGTGTTGGCATTAACAGAGGCGCTGCTTGTCAACAGGCAAGGCAGGGAACTGTGGGGACCGAGGCCAATGGGGCCCTAAAGGGCTGACAGGGGGGCACCTAAGGACTGACAAAATTTCAACCACAGCAGTGGCTCAAAATGTGCAAATTTTGCAATGATAATAGGAAACCCCCCAAAGGGATCCCAATCTGACAGCAGTCTTGACGGTTTTGCAACCATTACTGCTGTGAAAACGTGAGTATGTCTCGATGCTGATAATGTGAACACTACTTCACTGAACTATGAACACTACCTCCCTTTGGGATGACGATAAGCAAGAGGTCGACGTCTGCTCTGAGTCTGGTACATGTTTAATGTCTCATAACGTGACTGAAAACTGTCAACTATGACACATCACTTAATTTGTCTTCAGCCAATATCACTCAACCAACAGTAACTAGGAGTAATCTTAAAGGGAACGTGCACACTTATTAAACCAAAGTTAAAACCAAGTACAAATAAAAATAAAATAAAATAATGTGAATTATTCCAACCAAATAAAACATCACAAAAATAAATCTCACATTACATCAGAATTAAAGAACCGTAATGGAGTCCATAAAGTTACCTTTGAGCCTTTGTAAGTAAAATTTGAACAGCGTATTGATGACCATGTTAAAGCTGTGGGGTTCTCAAACTTAACTTTATTATTTCCACTCTGTGTTGCTTTATTTTGCTACTTCACAACATCTATTTGATGGCTCAGAAAACTTTGTGAATTTATTTTAACAATGCAAAATATAAATCAAGAAATAAACAACATTATATTATGATGCCACCAAGGCATTAAAAAAGTAGTTAGAGAGATGCAAATATTAATGTATCTCTAATACTACTCAAGTATTATAATAAATACGTTTCTAAAATGGGCTTTTCTGCATTATCAATACGCTTACCTTAAGCAAAAGAAGACCTGATCCACCTCTGTAGACACACTGTGAGTTAATGTAAAATTAAATCCTGCAGGTCAGAGTACTAAAAAACCCACCTGTAATGTGTTCAAAGAGTTTCTCTCACCTGATGAGGTTCTGCAGCAGCTGTCTGCTGGAGCTTTTCCTCCTGATCGACTCTGACATGCTGGATAGGGCTGCTCCTTGTCTTTGGTTGTGGTTCTGGTTGTCTTGTAACCCTTGGTCCTGGTCCTGATCCTGGTCTGGAGGCTCAGAAGTTTCTCACAGCTGCTCTCCTGTTATCCTGAGATGTTTCTGTGGCTCTTGTTGCCATCTCTCTCTCTCTCTCTCGCACTCATTCTCTCTCTCTCACTCTCTCTCCCTCTCTCTGTCTGTTCAGTCGCAGCTCTCTCCTCCCTCCATGTGGTTTTCATTGAAGCTTTCTGACCCCCCCTTGTCTTCATCCCAAACAGGGGTCATGTGACTCTCCCCAGAGTAAGATGATATCATAACAGAGGATAGCTGACAATATCGTATGCATGTGTATTGTGCATAATTCAAATTGTGAGGGGAGTGTCAGCAGTCTCACTTTGTTGTGACTATCACTAGGTCAGCCTCCCGTGAAATAAATAAGCCACGTTAACGTCACCTACTTACACCTACCCGCTTTATCTCTTTGCACAATCCATCAAAATCCAATAAACTTTGAAGAGTGTATCACCTTCTAACAAACCTCTTCAACATGCGTGTAAGGATGAAGCTCAGGTCTTGGTGTCTTAGAAGATGTTAAAAATAAAGATTTAAATTTAAAAAACGACTTCAAGTCACCACTTTTACAGAATATCAACATAAAGCTGTTTTAACATCTGCACTCCTGAAAATATCTAGATAATTTCAGGAGGATTGTTCCGGATATTCTCCTGACCCGGTTGTTCACATATGCTCTTCACAGCTGGAGACTATCCCTGTCAAACGGGAGGGGGGGGCGGGGGGTCTCCTAAGGTGATGTGGAAAAGAAGACGCTGAAGTAGATGGAGCAACAGAGTCCGCTACACGCTATAATGAGAATATTTGCCTCCATGTCAATGCTATGTGTAGTCCAACGGAATGACAACATCAACAAAAGAACGGAGAACAACATACTGATGAACAGAAAACCTTAATGCAGCCGTTTAATTATGTGCATGGAGATCATAGTGGTCGCGTGCAGACACTCTATGCAGCGTGCAGCAATCACAGGATATAAACATCAGTCTCTCTCCTATTGGCTCGAGGTGAATTTTCCTGAGAATATCCTGCTGTGTTCTCACATCAGCTCACTCTGCGGAAAAAATACCAGGGGTCTGTCAGGAGAAAAATGTGGCTATTTGTGTTCACACATACAGCTCCTCCCAGCAAATATCAGCAGTTTTTCAGGAGTTTTCTGCAAGTGTGAAAGCCCGAACAGTCAGGACTGTGGTGTTTGAATATTTTCTACTTCTAGTCTTCATGAATGTTTTAGGATCATATCATAGACCGTGTATATAAACATGGACGAAGAGTCAGTGACTTCACCCGTTGGTGGGTACGCTTGAATCCCGTTGAAGGCAGTCACTATATTGGAAATGTTGTCTCAACTTATCTTTCAGTCAACTTAACACCAGACAAAGAGCTGAAGCCGAGGCGGGTTTTTAGCCTCCTGACAAACAGCTACACAGCGACCACCTGTCAGTCAGGTCAGCCAACATTTATCCTTTATGAAATCAAACAGATAAGTTGTCAAAAATCCCAAGTAACTCAGTTAATGATTAGGTTAATAGTAGTAACTAGTAATTATAATTAGTGACTTAGTTCAGTAACTCGGCCATCACTGCTCAGGTGTGAGCAGCTGCCTGATAAAGAGGCTGAAGAAGAATGAGCCGGATCTGGTTTCTATTCAGCAGGTCATGAATAAGAAATAACAGCTCAGAAGAGGAGCAGCTGCTGGAGGCCACTACCTGATCTGAGCCGACCTGATCCAAATGCTGAGCCAGCAGAGCGTTAGTGGGGCTCCTTCCTGTTGGTTTGTTTGTTTATGTTTAGGAAGTTAGAAAAGAGACTCAGCTCTCTGCTTCTTAACACTCAGAGACAGAAGTGGAACTTTTCTCTTTTCAAAGCTCTCTGTCTATCAGTCCAACACTCGCAGATGTGCATTAGGTCACCCAGGCATTCCCAGCCAACACTGATTTACACTCACACATACACACACACACAACACACACACACACACACACACACACACACACACACACACACACACACACACACACACACACACACACACACACACACACACACACACACACACAGTTTATAGCTCGTCCACCCCCTCCAAATCCCGCGGGAGCTTGAAACACTCACAAACACTCCACAAACTGTTGCCACAGAAACACTCCCTCAGCACTCACAGTGTGTGTGTGTGTGTGTGTGTGTGTGTGTGTGTGTGTGTGTGTGGCAGCAGCTCTGTGTGAGGCTCACGGTGACGGATGGAGCCGCCGCCGCCCACGGACCGCCAACTTCAACTTCAACACTTTCTCCAATATTTCCCAGCAGAGGAGTTTGAAGTTTTCATGTTATTCATTTGATTTGCCTCCTGCACTAAAGTATTCCAGTCAGAATAGACGGTAAATAGTCAAGATAAAACACTTTAACATCAGTTATATTCCTTCCATCGAACATTTTCAGAAGTTGAGGTGCATTTCTTCAGAAGTCCTACCTGACCTGATCTTATCTTCTATTTAAAATCACTCATGAGTACCAGATGAAATGTATTTTTTTTTGCCCTTATTCCAAACTTTTGCTGAGTACCCCCCTAACATTCTCGTTATACACAGCGTTGATTACTCTTGATATCCACCGCCTTGCAACATGTTGGTTAGTTTGTTTACCACCAACAGAGCTGACAGTAAACAGACTGGAGGTCGTGTGTCGCAAACCGTATTAAGAGAAACCCAACTGAGAAACATGAGCTTATATATTATATAATAGGTGTAGTTCATATTTTTGGGCGGTAGTAGCTCAGTCAGTAGGGACTCAGGTTAAGAACCGTAGGGTCACAGGTTCAAGTCCCAGTACAGACCCAGTCCGGTCTGATAGCTGGAGAGCTAGCTGTCTGTCCAAGAGCAGTGGTTCTCAACTGGTGAAGCGACACAACGCACCAACTACTCCTTCATGAAAAATCACGACCAACAATTCTTACATTTTCAATCAATCCGATTCATTTAAAGAAATATTATGCAGTTTAGACCTCGGACAGTGCAAAACATGATAGGACAAAGAAACTGAATAAAACAAAATTGTTAAAAAATAAATAAATGTCTTGATAGACTTTTTGACTGCATTTTTCTTCCATGGCAAACAATCGCGACCCATTGAAAATGGCCATGCGACCCTCTTTTGGGTCCAGCCACTCCAGTTGAGAACCACTGTCCTATAGCAGAAGCACTGAGCCCCCAAATGCTCCGGCATTACTTCATGTGCAGACCCTCACTCTGACATCACTCCATTGGTGCATGTCCATAATAACCTCTTTGTGCATGTGTGCGTATTTCAGCCTGTTTGTGTGTAGCATGTCTCAATAACAGAGTGTAAAAGTGATTTCCCGTGGTCATTCTTCTTCTTAGCTGAAGATCAGCTGATGAAAATGTGTTCTTCCAACGACGCACTTAGCTTTACCGCTGTCTTTCTGTTATAGCTTGCTTCATTGTGTAAATCAACTGGTTCTGTGTTATTGTTGCAGTAAGGCTGTTTAATGAGTTAACTACATTTTGAAAACTCCCGTCTTCAGTTCAGGCCTGAAGTCTGTTCTCTCTCTTCTGAGCTTTAACACCTCGTCAGTCTCTCGGGCCGCTGTAATCGTTGCCAGCTGTCCCGTAAAGATGGCGTCACGCGCAGGAAATCTGCCACTGAAAAGCTGATCCAGACAGATGAGGAAACAGATTCAAGGTGAGTGACGTCAAGAAGCAGCCTTCAAATGCTAATCCCAGAAAGTAGAAGTTAGTGCAGCTTTTTTGGGGGAACACAGCTTGAAAGGAAACAGTGAGGACTGTGTTTTTATTCCCAGTTAAGCAGTTGATGGATGTACTGGTGCATTTGCATTTCTAACAGGAGCAGAGTGGAAAATGAGAGCTCATTAGAAGGAAGGTAAACTTTGTGGAAACTGGCTGGAAAGTCAAGGAAGTACATTCAATCATCAATGACACGTTAATACTTCTAAACAAGCCAGTTTTAAACTAATGAAATCATCTTTAAAGAACGAGTCAAAACTCGGCTGTGCTGCTAATTTAAAAAAAAGACAATCTATCAACATGCCAAGATTTTCTGGTTTCCTGATAACACACCGTGCAATAAGTAATCCACTAGGGGGCAGGTTCATTGTCTCTGACGGGTTGTAACATCCCTCTCTGTCACTCTTACTCATTTGCATTTAAAATATTGAACACTGATGCTTTCTTAAACAGAGGAGCATCAACAACACAGTTCTTTCTTCAAACCTGGAGGCCAAACTTCAAGAGTTCACTTTCACCATCATCAGAGGACCACGCTCGCTAACGTTGGTTTAAATACATTCCTTAGTTATATGTTTTCGTCCAAACAGAAAAGGCAACTACTTTTTTCTTTAGGACCATATATTTTGATTTTGTCATATTTTGATGTTATTTATGTATCTGTCACTGATCAAGAAATATGCAGGGGCTCTTTAAGCATTCTCAGCTCGCCAGTCTCTCTTTGAAGACTGAACTGTAAGAAGTGTCCACAAATCGTATCCATGACGACGTTCAGACCAGATGGAACAGCTCCTGATCATGATCAAAAGTACAATTCTTACACTTTAAAGAATTAAACTATTAAAGTTGAAAACCTGAGCGGTCTCTCCTTGTCGTCCCTCAAGCTCATATATATATCTACAGTATATCTAGATATAGATATATATTTATAGTATATTTCAAATTGTCTTTCTATTGTATATTTGTTGTTGTAGTTGTTATCACACCTTGTCTGTGAAGCACTTTGGTCAGCTGAGGCTGTTTTAAATGTTTAAAAATAAACTTGACTTGACTAAAATCAAAGATGCTTCATGACTCCTAAAATCTGTGACTTATTGAAATTATTATTATCATTATTATTTTTTTGTACATTTATTTGCAGCATTATGTCCTACAGAGGTCAAAATGGGCTGTTGGAGCCATGAGAAGATCTGACCGAGACCTGGAATAAAATATCTGATGGTCTGCATCCTTATTCCAGAGTAGTTCTTCAAAATCTCACTACTGTTGTCCCAAAAAAAGTTCTACATTAATGAATGAATGATGTTTGATCATGGCTTCCTCCCTTCGATTTTTCAAACTTTTCCTTCCA